TTGGTGATGTGTATGTGCACTCTCCTGCTTGCGTAGAAGTTCGCACGGGGCTGTGTTTTTGTGTTTTATACCTTTAGTGTTTACATGTGGGCACACTGATGTATGTCCACATTTTTATTCACGTACGAGAATAGCCGCATATAAGAAAAAAATTAATTGTAGGCCCTGCCCCGTCTGCATGTCTGTGTGAGCACCAATTTTGATGTCCCCAATTGTCGTGTGCAACAATACGTTTTTTATTTCTAACTCGCGTTGTGCTTAGTCACATTTTAGCAGCGTCACCACGCATAGCCTGATATGACGAGCGCGTTTTTATGGAGTACACGTTTGTGCTCATCGTGAAAGGATAAAGGAGAAAAAAGTGCGTTGCTGTGTGGCAGCCGTGTGTCGCGTGTGTGGTTTCTGCATAATGCCTTAGTGGCACCTTTAAAAACTGCATGCGAGGGATCGAGTGAGACCACTGTTTTGTTGTGTACATACACGTAGGGGTAAGAAGCGGACACGCGAAAAGGGTGAGGGTTATACAATAGTACACACACTTCACATGCGAAGCAAGACTTCATTTTGTCTCGGAGCGTGCATGGAGAAAACGACAAAACGAGAGGGTAAAAAAAAAAAAATGACTGTCTGAGGTTTTATGATTGTACCATTCTGCTATTTCGTTATTTTTTTTTATTGTTTTTTTTTTTTTTTTTTTGTGGTAGCCTCCTTGGTCCACCCCTCATTTTTGTCACCTCATGATCATCAGCTGCAGTGACAGAAGTGTGCATGTCGTACATATGTGTGTTACATATAACTGCTCTGTGAAAATTTACGTGTATGTACGTGCCCCTCCCACATTCTCATCCGTATAGCATCCCGCGGGGGTAGAAAACCCTTTTGACGGTATAATTCACGTAATTAAATAATTTTTCTAATTAAGAAAAGGCCCCCCCCCCCTCCTACAGAGGTGTTCCTTTTTTGCACGTCGTTTTTTTTTTTTTTTTTTTGTTTTTTCTCTCCCCTTTTTAAATATATTACATACCCTTGCGGCAGGAGTAATCCCCTTGTGAATTTTTTTTTTTTTTAATTTTGCGCTTAATCGACTGCTCAAGTAGGAACAGTGTGTAGAGTTAGAAGAAAGTGAAGCAGTGCTTCTTCCAAGCCCGTCAATAGAGAAACCCCTTTAATTTTTTTTTTTATATCACTTCATTGTCCACTAAAATGACAAAGCGCGCTTTCATTTGGTGCCTCTATTTTATAACTTTGTTTTTTCTGTGTAAGAATGAACTGGCCTACTGTTCTGCAAACAACAACCAAGGAGTAAGTGAACGCTGAAAGAGGGAGAGTCCTGCAAAAGTTGCTTCTTCACCTTTGCTCACGTGCTAGGGAGGAGAAGCGATGCGTGTGTTTACATATCTTCCCGTTTTTCTCTCGAGCAGCGTTTAGTAGTTCCCGTGTTTACCTGCCTTTTTTTCCCCCTCTTCGCAGACGGAGAACTTCCTGAACAGAACGATTAATATTTTGAACGCCGGAAAAAATGTAGCCAAGCGATATGGACACAGCCAGCTGAAGCCAGTGCACATCCTGAGTGCCCTCGCGAAGAGCGATTATGGTAGGAGAGGCGTGTGATGTGTGAAGAGATGCACAGCGAGGCGCAGCGTGGCGCAGCGAGACGCTTGCTCAAACCTGGGTGGCCAATCGCCTGCCCAACTGAATACTGCACATCTCGCCGCTGCGCTAAGTAACCGCATCACATCACCCATACTAATTGTCGCTTACCCCCCCCCCCCACACGCACACCATTATAGGATCTAACCTTTTGAAGGAAAACAGCGTCAATGCAAGCAATCTGAAGCAGTACATAGATACTGCTCTGGAGCAGACCCGTGCCGGACCGGTAAGATTGGCGTTGCGGAGATGTCTCACGTGTAACGCGCGTGCAACGGCGTGACCGCATACGTGCTTCGCCTCATGCACGCTTCGCTTCATAAATGATTCGCCGCGTTCATGCTTCGCTTCATAAATGATTCGCCGCGTTCATGCTTCGCTTCATAAATGCCGCCCCCCCCTCTTTGTAGCCACTGGACAATAAGAGCAAGATCGTGTACTCGGACGAAGTGAAGGAAGTGCTGGCCCAGGCGGAGGCGCTGGCGAACAAGTACAAGAGCCAGAAGGTAGATGTAGAACATTTGCTTAGTGGCCTCATGAACGACGCACTGGTAAACGAGATCATGAATGAAGTGTACCTGACTGAAGATGCAGTGAAGGGCCTCATGAAAAGTAAATTTGAAAAAAATAAAAAGGATAAAGATGGAAAGTCTGGAGGTTTGTATATAGAACAGTTTGGTTCCAATTTAAATGAAAAAGTGAGAAATGGAAAATTGCAAGGTATATATGGAAGAGACGAAGAAATAAGAGCAGTCATTGAGTCACTTTTAAGATATAATAAAAACAGTCCTGTGCTGGTTGGACAGCCAGGTACAGGTAAAACAACTATTGTTGAAGGTTTAGTGTATAGAATTGAAAAAGGAGATGTGCCAAAGGAACTTAGAGGATACACAGTGATCAGTTTAAACTTTAGAAAATTCACATCAGGCACTTCATACAGAGGAGAATTTGAAACCAGAATGAAAAATATTATTAAGGAGTTGAAAAATAAAAAAAATAAAATAATACTCTTTGTTGATGAGATTCATTTGTTGTTGGGAGCTGGTAAAGCGGAAGGAGGAACAGATGCAGCGAATTTATTGAAGCCTGTTTTGTCTAAAGGAGAAATAAAATTAATTGGAGCTACCACCCTAGCAGAGTACAGAAAGTTTATTGAAAGTTGTTCCGCTTTTGAAAGAAGATTTGAAAAAATTTTAGTAGAACCCCCCTCAGTGGAAAACACCATTAAAATATTAAGATCCTTGAAGAGTAAATATGAAAATTTTTACGGAATACACATCACAGACAAAGCATTAGTGGCTGCTGCTAAGGTGTCCGATAGGTTCATAAAAGATCGTTTCTTACCTGATAAGGCAATTGACTTGTTGAACAAAGCTTGCTCTTTCTTACAAGTGCAGCTGTCGGGAAAACCTCGTATAATTGATGTGACAGAGAGAGAGATTGAACGTTTGGCCTACGAAATCAGTACGCTCGAGATGGACGTGGATAAAGTTTCAAAACGAAAGTATAATAATCTTATTAAAGAGTTTGAAAATAAAAAGGAAATGTTGAATAAGTATTATGAAGAGTATGTGATATCTGGGGAAAGACTCAAGAGAAAAAAAGAAGCTGAAAAGAGATTAAACGAATTGAAAGAACTTACACAAAATTATATTAATGCGAATAAAGAACCACCCATTGAGTTACAAAATAGTTTGAAGGAAGCTCAGGAAAAATATATGGAAGTGTATAAGGAAACATTAGCTTATGTAGAAGCCAAAACACATAACGCTATGAATGTAGATGCAGTATACCAGGAGCATGTTTCTTACATTTACCTGAGAGACTCTGGTATGCCACTAGGTTCCCTCTCTTTTGAATCATCCAAAGGCGCACTCAAATTGTACAACAGTTTATCCAAGTCGATTATTGGTAATGAGGATATTATAAAATCGCTCAGTGATGCAGTTGTGAAAGCAGCAACTGGTATGAAGGATCCTGAAAAACCGATCGGAACATTTTTATTTTTGGGACCTACTGGTGTGGGTAAAACGGAGCTAGCCAAAACGTTAGCCATTGAATTGTTTAACTCCAAGGATAATCTGATCCGAGTGAACATGTCCGAATTTACAGAAGCACATTCCGTTTCAAAAATCACTGGTAGTCCACCAGGTTATGTAGGGTTCAGTGACTCTGGTCAGCTAACAGAAGCAGTGAGAGAAAGACCCCACTCCGTTGTTCTGTTCGATGAACTAGAAAAGGCACACCCAGATGTCTTTAAAGTATTGTTACAAATTTTAGGAGATGGTTATATAAATGATAATCACAGAAGAAATATTGACTTTTCAAATACGATAATCATTATGACTTCCAATCTCGGTGCAGAATTATTTAAGAAGCAATTATTTTTTGACGCGAACAATTCAGATACCCCAGAATACAAAAGAGTGTTCGATGACCTCAGAATACAACTCATTAAAAAATGTAAAAAAGTTTTTAAACCTGAATTTGTAAACAGAATTGACAAGATAGGTATTTTTGAACCTTTGAGCAAAAAGAACCTGCGTGAAATTGTTAAGCTCAGATTTAAAAAATTGGAAAAGCGTTTAGAAGAGAAGAACATTCATGTGTCCGTATCGGAGAAGGCTGTTGATTACATCATCGATCAGTCATACCAGCCCGAGTTAGGAGCCAGACCAACTCTCATTTTTATTGAAAGTGTTATCATGACCAAGTTTGCCATTATGTATTTGAAGAAGGAGTTGGTGGACGACATGGATGTGCACGTCGACTTCAACAAGGCCGCCAACAATTTAGTAATCAATTTGACCGCCGTGTAGAGAAGCGTTTAGCGGCATGTAGCGGCATGTAGCGGCATATTTAGCGACGCATCTAGAGAAGCATTTTGGCGAAGCCCTTTTCCAGACCATTTTGCTATTTTCCCTTTTCTCTTCCCCGTTACTACTTCCTCTTCTCTTCTTCCTCTTTTCCCCCTTCCCCGCGTTACATGCACATTAACCACACGCACATTAGCCACACGCCGCTGAAGATTCAGTGGGTGCGCAAGCGTGCGGTGTGCTGCTTACCATCGAGGCGTTCGCCTGCGGCGACGTAGGCACGCTGAAAAGTGGTAGAAGTGTGTGCAAGTCGACGCCTTTTAAAAAAGTGTAGAAACAAAGGTGGCCCCAAAGTATAGAAAAACCGAAGGTTAAACACCAGACCGATGTCGAAGCCAATGCGGAAGAGGAATCCAGGCCGCTACTGCATTTTGTGAATTCAATTTTTTTTCTTCTCCCCCCCGTAATCCCCTTCTAGTTCCATTATCTCAATCCCCCGATGTTTTGCCATCACCTTTGATGTGCATAATGTCCATGCGGCCCTCGAGGCACAAAATTTTGCTCATTTTTTGCTCATTTTTTGCTCATTTTGTGCTCATTTTGTGCTCACGTTTTGCTCATTTTTCTTTTCATTTGATAAGACGTGGAAGGTGTGTCCCCCTTGTACCATTATATCTCCAGCATGCATATAGCCGTAATTTCTTTTTTTAAAATTAATTCCATTGTTTTAAGTGTGTGGTGCGTTTGTGTGTGTGTGTGTAGTGTTATGGCTGGTACCGTATCTACTCCTATGTGCACATACGCATTACACTTTTCCTCTTTTTTTTTTTTTTTTTTTTTTTTTTTTTTTCCTTTTTTTTTTTTTTTTTTTTTTTTTTTTTTTTTTGCCCAATGTTATTTCCTAATTAAGTTTTCGTGCAGCTCTACGTATGTTTATTTGTGCACGCCCTGCGTATATTTTAACTCCTTTATTTTTTTCATAGCCCTCTTTTTAAGTCTACATATTATTTATTGATTTATTTTACATGTGCGAAATTTTGTTTTTCATATCTTAATTCATTTTGTCCAACTTTTTACAAGTAAAAATTTTGACCCTTTTTAATTTTTTGAAATTCTTTTAAAAATCGAAACAGGCCAGATATAGGGGAAGGGTAACCTCCTCCTTCCCCCTCCCCAAGTACATATATATATAAAATATTCCTTGATCAAGGGGAGTTGACGTCTCTGTTCGGGTGTTTTGCACATTTTTCACATTTCTCGCACACCCTATTGTGGTTCGAATTGAGAGCGTTGTCTTTCCTGGATGCACTATGCACATCCGTAAAACTGTTTCGCTAACCAGAGGAAAATTTTTAAAATCGCTTTGGAAGCAGACCAGGTCGTGTGCAGCATTTTTTTGTCAGAAGAGCTACGCACCTCTTCTTTTGCTCGTAGACACCGTTTTTTTTTTTTTTTTTTT